GTCTTATACAGGAAACTATTCCTATGGTACCCTATTACCATATACCCACTCTAGAAAATCTTGCTAGTTAATCAAATAGAATCTCCGAGAAAGGTGTAGTAGAAGGGAAAAACTTACGCTTCTAAAGGTCGCGGTTCCACCCAACTACAACCAATAGTAAATCAAATCAAATCAAATCAAAATAAGCTTTAAGGTTGTCGCTCACTGGAGCGCACCGCACGGCAGCGCAGCGAAGAGGACTTTTTAAATACATTGTTTTAAACGGGAGTACGCTCACTTGTCGGAAGCGCACCGATCGGCATACTCCCATTTAAAACAATCTATATATATAAAAATCAAAGTTCACGGGGTTTCCGGGTATGCGCTCCTACACCACTTATCCGATTACGATGAAACTTTGGTAGATTGTTATGGCCATCCTAAGGAAGGTTTGTGGATAGGTTACGCATCTCGGAAAAAGAAATTAATTTTGAATTAATTAATAATTTAATTGTAAACAAACTCATTCAAATTACATAACAACATAACCCAACTTTTTTTTTGACAGTATGAAAGGCTTGCCATTCAACCGACGTAGCTTTATTATTTTTTGAATTCGAGAACGGCTGGACCGATCTTGAATTTAATACCATAAAATTTTAATACCACGTATCTCTATATAAGCTGAATTCGATTGACCCAGATTAGATCGATTTGGGTTCAATTTAAGTGAACTTCTTCTGATCTAGATCATTTTTTTGTTGATGAGAGTGCACTGATCCAGCCTCAATCGAACACAGTGTGGTTCACTTAGGGCGAATTCTCATGAGCGTAAGTCGACATTTCTGGCGTAACGAAACTCTGATACACTGGAACGCCTATAAACAACCCGGGGCGCTCTAGAACAGCTCTGGAGTGCTTAAAATGCGTCACCGAACTCACTGCGGCAAGCGACGCTGGTATCAGATAAAAAAAATAAAAAATTAAATAGAAAATCAACAATAAAATTTGAAAAAAAGTGTATTATTTCAAAATGTATTTTCAAGCTGGCAAGGCAGGGGGTCATTAGCTAGTGTATTATAAAAAGTCCTCTACGCCGCGCTTCTGTACGCTGCGCTCCAGTGAGCGTCAGCCTTTATTGTCCAGAAATATGTTATCTCACTGACAAAGCAATTTCCTTATTCTAGAATTATACTATATGTTATATTATTATCAAAGAATAAAAAAACATAACTAAGATGACAAAAAATAAACTAAAGCTACAAAATTTTTATCCAATCACCGCACTATGGATGGTGCGGACATGTAGGCAGCCATTACCATTAATGTATAAAAAACACAACCATAAAATACAAAGTTTAAAACATAAAATAATATAAATTATAAAACAAAAAATATAAAATATAAAACATTAAACATAAAATAGAAAATACAAAACCCAGTAACAATTGCAACATTCATAAATTTAGATTTAAAATCCAGCGTCGTAATACTCAGAGATACTGTAGAGGGCCCTAGATACCAAAAGACATTTTACAGAATTTCGAAACATTCTATAATTTTGATGATTTTTTAATTCTCCTGGTAAATGATTGTATAATTTAATGCTTTCATAAATCACCGAACTTTTTGTTAAGAAAGACTTTGGGATTGGAAGCGGAAGATTATTGCATCTAAAGTCATAATTTCTTTCTTGAGTAGTCCCAGAATATTTTCTAAAGATTAGGCACACTGATTCTAAGAAGAATGAAGATGGTACTGTTAGTATTTCTTCCTGCACAAAGAGTTATCTACACGATTCTCCATACCCTTTCTTGCAGAGACAGCGCATTGCCCGCTTCTGGAGAACAAAGACTGACTGGGTGGAATATCCCCAAAAAGCAATTACATATCGCATACAAGCCTCCATAAGAGAGAAGTACGCTGCTCTAGCAGCCTACTTTCCCAGCTCCTTAGCAAGAGATCTGATTATGTATCAGCTCTGAACTAATTTTTTTATTTATTTGTTCAATACGTGTGTCGAGCTTTGGTCGTGTACCTATCTATGTATAATCTCAAGAATGTATTAGTTGTTTTTTGTTCAAGGGGGACATTGTCTAATCTCACCTCACCCAGAGAAAATTTGAATGTCAAAAGTTTAGTCTTTCTTGTATTAAAGCATAACTTATTTGAGTCGCACCAGCGTTTCACTTGCATAAGGTCCTGCTCAATAGTTGTTTCAAGCTCCTCCAGATTCTTGCCCTTCCACAACTGTTTTATCATCAGCAAAAGCTGTAGATTTCCCAGCGATTGGGAGCTGAGCTAAATCGTTAATGAAAAGCAAGAACAAAATGCGTTCAAGTACAGACCCTTGCGGTACTCCACAGGTAGGATCAATATTTGACTGTATGTTTCAACAGATGTTACCTGCTATTATTGTGAAAAAACTATTTAACTCCTCTGAGCTGAGTTCAGGGATATCGCTGAATTTTCTAGTTTTATTTTCGGCCCTTGAAACCCTACTCACAGTAACGATTCTTAGCTTGTTGAATAGCTCAATATTCGGGAAAGTCATTCTCGTACTGCTGAATAATTGGAACAGGGAGACAAACATTCAACAGATATTTAAACGATCACAGATAAAATAGTATGTGTATTCACACTAAGTATTTGTATATTTGCGTATCGTATGTTAAGATCGTAAATTATTCTCAGATATTTTTCTACCTTGTGTTACCCAACACTTCCTAATTTTTCTATTAACTTTAGGTACGTAGTGGGAAACTTTTATTATACATTTTTATAATATTGTTTTGGAATATCTGCAGTGGGTCTCCAATGCCCTGCTCCCAATATATCCTGATTGCTAGTCTTTTAAATGTTTCAAATTTTTTTTTACTAAATATCCTTCTCCTCTCTACCTTTTTTTATTTATGTTACTTACTATAAGGAGCTCTGACGTTTGAGCCTTATGGTCAGACAGTCCTGAGGGAATCACCTGGCACGTAAACTCATCTGAATCAACATTACTGCAAAAAAATCGTTTTAGCCGAATGATCTGTTATACGGGTTGGCTCGTTTACGAAAACTTTTAAGGTAAATGAATTTGAAAGATCCAGTAAGGCTTCTGTATCTCTGGACCCGGAATCGTTATAGTCTATATTTAAATCTCCTGCTAACACAAGTTTAGATAATAAAGAAAAACCGTTTAGAAGCTCCTCTATAGTCTTTCCAGAAACAAAAATGGGTTACCTGAGGGAGGTCTGTAAACACATAAAAGAAATATGTTATAGTTTTTAATTCGAATAAGTGAAAATTCAAAATGATTTTCTGAGATTAAATTTAGTAAATTCGCAGCGTGGAGTTCCGATGTCTATGACCGGATAAAACAGGCTGCAGCGATATCAAGTTCCCAAAGAAAACTCCAAAGATGCATTATCATTGGTCTCAAAAAACCTCCGCTAGCAAGACGTCCTTTTGTGTTGGACAAAGAAAATTTGCAAAACATCACAAAAGACTATGAAATAGAAGAATGTACCTTGAGTCAAAATCCATAGTAAAACCGATTATTAAAGAGAGTTTTCAACGAAAGAACACTCAGATGATGTGCATCACCAGTTGGGACAGCTCTGAAGCAAGTAAGGTAACATCCCATGATTCTAAGGAGTTCGAACTGGCTGTTTGAACCTTGAAGTTTAGTAACCAATTTTGTGAAGGCCCAACCGAGAGCTTCCGAAGGAATTTGGAGTCTTGGTTAGGTACAGAAGATAGGAGACATATAAGGAAATATGGAACTCAAAGAATTGGATAGCATTAAACCAACATAGCAAACAAACAACAAAATTTTAAAAACTCGGCATTATTGAAAAGTAACGAACTCAATAAGAAGTTATATTCTAATAAAGAAGAGCTTTGGTAGACACTCTAGAGCGAGAAAGCTGTCTGGATGCCCACCCAGATGAAGATGATAATCACCAAGTCGAAACTTATCAATCCGCCAACATTCTACATGAACTGATAGTGCAATGAAATACCAGGAATCATGTCAGTCCCCAGGAAATTCAGAAGAACATCACAGGTCTGTAAGCCAGGAAAGCACTAGGTTGGCTATTAGAAATTTATTTGTATCTATATCTACTTGTGGAAGTTCTAGAATCTACGTGCAACGCGCATTTATGCTCTACTACATTTTTCACTACTTCACTCACATCTCCAAAGCCTCCTATAGCACTGATGGCTATGAATCTGCCTACTTCTATAATACTTCCTAAAGCTCCAGAAATTATAGTCCATTCAAATATTTGAAAGGTATAGTAGATTTTTCTCTTGCACCTTCCAATTTAATGTTTAGCACCCGAGATAGGCCACAAACCAATCCAAACCTGGATAATTTAGGCTTCCGCAGTAATCAATACCTATATAATGAGACATAAAACTGAGGACGTATAACTTCTCTCAGAAAGAAAAATATTGCGTCACTTGTCCTCTTTGAACTTTGAAAACCAAATTACTCTTGATATTTTATGTTTCCTACATAAGAAACTCTGTAAGTATATTTTTCAACCAATTTTGGAGAGGTTGAAGAAATTTGGAAGAAGATTGGTATAGTACGGAAAGTTTCCACGCTCTCAAGCTGTCAAGTATTTCAGGAAAGTATCAGTAATTGTTTTTCATATTAATACAATTTAGTTTGTTGCACCTATTTCTATTTTTTAATTATAAGAACTTAGCAATTCGTCAATAATTACTTTTAACGAAAATGTTGAATTATTGGACCAAAGACATTTCTGTTTACGGAATGTTACTCTGTTGGTTAGCATAGATAAAAATACGGTGAGAAAAATTAAAAGGAACAAACTAAGATTTTGATTGATAATTATTTATTCAATTACAAAAATATATTTAACATTATTTTTTTTAATAGATATAACAACAATGGCTTTATTATGAACACAAGATAACAATAGCAACTAAATACAGGTAGGTAGGTGTATAATAATAATAAAATTAGACAACAAAAAGATACCTATATTAGAAGAAAATTAACTTTTGGTAAGTTGAACGTTTGCAACATTTTTCTCCGCGATTCCATCAAATAATTTTCGTTCAAGTTCTGCAGCAGCTAAATTGACAGGATGACCTTGAATCATTAAACATCATTAATCAAATTTTATATATATTTTTTTTAAAACTTGATATACCTTTTACATTGATAGAAACTACAAGGGCGAGTAAATGGTCGAGGATTGCTACAACGTTTGCGTCAAGAAGTCCTAAAAAAAAAATAATTTAAAGATTTTAGAATTTATTTTGTCAGATAAATATTACCATTTTCTCCAGCAACTTCTGCATCGATAGTAGAATATAGAAGGCCTTCAAGAACCGCTAGTACGCTTAGATCAACAAGAGGAACGTTATCGCTTTTAAGTGAATTGCTCGAAAGTCCACCACGCATTAATACGTCTTGATCAATGGGATGCGTTTTGAGAATATTGCCAAGAAGACCACTTAGTAGGCAAAGGATATTGCCCAAAAGGCAACTTAAACTGCTCGAGTCTACGTTGAGGCCCAAATCAACTAACTCCCCTAAAATTGAATTCGAATTAGAACTTTTCAATGAAGCTTAGGTAAATATTTACCTCCACTAACATCTTTGCGAGCTAGCATCATTGTTGGGTCGATAGGTTGTCCTAAACCAATTATAAAATAATTATTATTTTCTTGAAGTTATTTTACTTACCTTTCTTTAGAATACTGCCAAGAAGACTACTAAGTAAGCAAAGAATGTCGCTCAAAAGACCATTCAAGTCTACTCCAAGGTTCAAATCCACTAATTTCCCTTAAAAAATATTCAAATTGTAGAACCTAAATCAATATAATTTGGGTAAATCTTACCATCAGTGCGATCATTGCGAGCTAACATCATTGCTGGATCAATAGGGTGTCCTAAACCAATAATAATCACTTTATTCTCATTTTTTCAAAGGTGTTTTACTTACCTTTTTTTAGAATAGTACCAAGAACACCACCAAGTATACAAATAATATTACTCAAAAGACCGTTCAAGTCTAATTCAAGTTCCAAATTCACTAACAAATTGTCAACTGGACCATCCGAATCACAAGTTTCTCCTTCTACAACTGCACCATCCGACTCACAAACTTCATCCACAGTCGTTTGTTCCAGTACGCTGGATTTTTCTAAAACGTCCGATTGCTTCAGTGCGGGTGCCACTTTATTGATGGGCATAACTGAGAAAAAAATCAAAAGCTAGTAATAATTGTATTTGAAGTTCTAAAAAAATACTTACCCAGTGTTGAAGAAAGTGCTACCATAGGTAGTAGAAACAGTATTTTGATAAACATTTTTTGGATTGAGCTGATTTACTGAACGAGCGAACTCAACTGATATCCTTTTCCGGCACAAATTGGCTTTTTATATGAAACAAAATTTAGTTATTTGAACTTATTGTTTATAAAATTTATCGTTAATAATACCTTCCATAATGGAATTTTAACAAATGAGGATTGTTGACCGGGTACAATGCAAATTTTTAATTGTTCAATTATCGGTTTGAGTTTAGTGTTATCTGGAGAGAATCCTTATTCATAGAAAAGGGGGTGAACGTTTTAAAATTTTCCTGAGATTAATTTTCGGAAGAGAAGTTTTCATAATTAAGCTAGTGAATCTTAGAAAGGCCTCACAATCGTCATTTTTTCATGGAAACTTGAATAATTTTAGGCCTAGAAATTCTGAAGAATGTTTCAATGTCGCACTATCACAGCTGATAGTGAGGCTTTTTGTTTAAATATCTTTAAAATCTAAAGAAAAACCTAAATGATGTTGGTCTCAGGTTGTCCCATACCTACTTAATCTATTTGATTGAATTTATATTCTATTCTCTCAGCTTATCTTCTAGAACTAGTTGCTCGCAACTATAGGACTTTGGTTATCATTGAGAAGAGTTTTGCATTATCAGATTCAAGAGTAGCTTAGCACTAGGTTACGGCTTCTCTGCACAAGTGGAGAAGTTTTGTCGCCAATTGTGTGTGTCTTATACAAGAAACTATTCCCAATGTACACTGGTACCACATAGTCACTTTAGAAAATCCTGCCGATAGTGTCAAAAATCTGATAAATCAATCTCTATGGTTTCATGATAACTTGGCCGAGAACCGAATAAAAGGGTCAACAATTCGCAAATCGGATCTCCGAGGAAATACTGGCAGGTGTTGTTGAAGAGGAAGACTTACGCTTCTTATGGTTGCAGTTCCGGCCACCTACAACCAATAGTAAATTCGCAGCCTAGAACTTCGATGTCCGGAACGGAACTGGAACAACGATATCAGCTTTCCCAAAGAGTCATTGTGATTGGTCCCGAAAAACCTCCTCTAGCGAGACGTCCTTCTTTGTTGAACAAAGAAAATTTGCAAAACATCGCAAAAGACTTTCAAATAGAGACTATAGAAGAGTTTACCGTCCATAGTAAAATCGATTATTGAAGAGTCTTCGACCAGAGGACAATCAGCTGGGACAGCTACGAAACAAATAAGGTTCCATCCCAGTGATACATAATTCGACGGAGTCGGAACTGGCTGTTGTTTAACCCTTGCAGTTTTGTAACTAGACCAATGTTGAGAGGGCCAAACCGAGAATTTCTGAGGGAAGTTGGAGTCTTGATTATGTACAGAAGATAGGAGACGTAGGTACAGACGAAATCATGAAAGCACAAGGAATTGAAAGGAATAGAATAGCGGTAAACTAATTTAGCAAACAAACTACAAAATTTAGGAAGTCGCGGCATTATTGACAAGTGAAGAACTCAATGAGGAGTTATACTATAATAAAAACAAGGAGCTTTCGCAGATAGGGCGGCTCAAGAGCGGGAAGGGATGCACATCCAGATGAACATAATAATCACGTATTGGAAATTTATCAATTTGCCAACATTTTACGTGAACTGATGAGTGCAATGAAATACCAGGAATTTTGTCAGTCCCTAGTAAATTCAGAAGAACATCATAGGTCTGTAAGCCAGGAAAGCATAGATTGGGTGTATTAGAAATTTATTTTTATCTATACTTGTGGAAGTTTCAACGTCTAGGAAAAAAGTTGAAGGAATCTCTTACTGATGGAAGTTGCTGTTAGCGTTAGAAATGTTCTAGTATTTAGAGATTTTGCCGAACAGGGTCTTTATGACTAACTACTTTCTTTTCTGGAAACCAATTCTTGATACCAGAAAACAGCGCTCTCAGATAGTAGAAGTTATCCTTGGTAAAAATGATACAAATAAACCTGACCAAAGCCTGACAAAATACATCTGTCCTTGACGATGTATGAGCTGAAACACTGCTATCGACTTTTTGAGAATTTCAGGATTGACTGGTTGCGGAAAGGTGGTAGTTTAGTGGGTAGATATATATGCTATATGCTCTTGCGCAAGTCTACCTTATGGCGGTAAATATGGAGGTGAAATAGGTATGCCTTTTGATTAGCAAACTTCACTGTCCAAGCTTAACCATATGATCACAGGTTCCAATATGAAACAAGCGCATGATCCACAGGACTCACAAAGGGTTCCTCTGTAGATTATGATGGTTGAGATGTTTAGGTTATGTAACTTTCCGCACTGCGACCTGATTAGATCTATGTTGTGCTTCTCCTTATATATAGTGTGCTCCCAGATTAACACTTTTGGCAAAACTCATAATGTTCCTGGGACTGGCTTCTTTCATATCCATATCCGTGAAGTACAGCTGCTCCGGGACTACATTATTCTTGAGGCCTCCATGTAGAGTTTCTTTAGAAAAGTATATATAAATCCGTCAAGGAATCTGCTTGAAGTTAGACAAGGACTTGGTTTGGCTCCTCCACAATCTCCTCGATGGACGCTTCAGTTTTCCAGCAACGCTGATGCCGAATGAAGAAATTCAGTTCCGTCGTTAAAAATACCATCTTCTGGGGCAGAAGCACAAGAGCATTTTTTACTAATTCCACTCACATCTGCAAAACCTTCTACAGCACCGATGGTTATCAACCTGTCTACTCCTTCGGTACAGCTTCAGATATTAGTCCATCCAAATATTTGACACGTTACCTGAATATTTGTGAAATTTAAACCGCAATTGGTATGTAAAAGTATAGCCACTGATTTTCTGTATTAGCATTTTAATAGGTGGTTCTAAGATTTTAGTTTGTTGTTTTCATATGTCATGTTTATGAAGATCTCATTGATTTTCTTGAGGCACAATTTTCATGTTCTGTTTTTTTCTGATGTAACAGATAGCACTTATAATTTTTCAAAGGGGACTTCCATGGCCCGAATTGTCAATAAATTGTTGAGTCAATATGATCTATATTCGATGAATGATAGTGTGAACTGCACTGGTAATAATTTACATCTTGTATTAACTGACATAACAGAAGCATTGGTCGGGGATTGCCCTGAGAGTGCCTTAGTGAGTATCGATAATTATCATCCTTTATTACAAATTGAATTTTCTGTTACAGTAATGAGGAAAATCTCTGGGCAAGATCCTTATATCTCCGAAAATATCAAGTGAGATTACTTATAGAGGGATTTCCGATAACCTGTATCATTTACTTGCACAACAAGACTGGTCAATATTGTCAAATACAACAGATATTAATTGTTGCATTGAGACTTTCTACAATATCTTAAATAATATTTTTCAACAGTGCATACCAAAAAAGAATGTTGAGTTACTGAATAATAAATTCCCATGTGGTTTTCAAAGGATCTGATCCATAAATTAAAAGAAAAAATTAATTTGTCTAGAATGTCTAATATAAGAAATCGTCCAAATTTCAAGCATTCTATCGGGGCAAGTAGGTACTGTTAATTGAGAACAGAGACTTAAACGACAAACCGAATATTATTATAATGAATATTTTAAGGAGATAGAGGGTAAGATTTCCATAAATCCTAGTAATTTTTGGAACTTTGTGAAAAGTGAAAGGAACAACAGTAACATCTGCTTAAGTTTTTCTCATCAAAATCAAAATTTTGTTGACAACACCTTAATTGCTAATGCATTTTCTCAATACTTTCAGGATATGTATGATAAAACTGTTTTTGTGGGCGATTGTAGAGCTGTTAATGATTGTGGTTTGGATGTTTTGGACATAGGTGAAGTAAGTGAGCAGGATGTGTGTGAAGCTATTGAATCCTTGAAAACTCGAGCATCTCCGTGGATGGTGTGGCAACATTCTTTTTCATATTCGGAGATACTAAAGCATCCTTTACTTACTTATCCTAATTGTTGAAATTCCTAAAATGTTGAAAGTTGGCAAGGTAATTCCAATTCACAAATCTGGGCCCATTACAGTGCTGCCAGCTCTGTCGAAGACAATTAAACGGATCCTACATGAATATGATAAAATATATAACCATGTAAAACATATTATTCTACCAGAACAGCATGCGGGTTTCAAAGAGGTAAGTCTACGGTCACAAATCTTGGGGTGTTCTCTGAGTATGCTGCGAGGCATCTAGCTGACGGGTGCCAGGTTGATGCTGTATACATAGATTTAGCTAAAGACCTTGATAATGTTAACCATGGAGTGCTAATTAAAAAGTTTCAAAATTTCTCTTTCAGTGAAAACATAACTAATTATCTAGCTACTTATCTTGGTGTTAGATCTCAATTTGTTAAATTTTACGATGCTCACTCCCCAATCTATATAGCTGCCTCTGAAGTAGGTACCTCAGGGCTCAATTCTTGGCTCGCTTTTGTTTGTCTGTTTAATAATGATATATCTCAGTATATAAGATATTCACAATTCTTACTTTATGCGGATGATCTTGGAATCTTTGCTGCTGTTAAAACCATTGATGATTGCGTGTTGTTACAGAGGGATGTAGATTCGATCTCAACTTTCTGCAGGGACAATAAGCTTCAGCTGAGTTCACTTTGCAAAGACTAGGTACCCAATTTGTGATATCAGATTGAGCAGAGTGGAGGAAATGTTGCTTTTGAGTGTAGGTATTGTTCTCGAAAAACATTAAAAGTTCATTTTTATTTATTTATTATTATTTTCTTTTTTCTCTAATTCCTAGAAATTGGAAATTGGTTATGTTTGAAAACCAACGTACCCCTTGCGATTCAATGTTCACCAACAATCCAAAACTGGATAATTTGAACTTTCCTAGTAATCAATATCTACATACAGGGCGTCAATTTGAAAACTTTCAATGAAAGTAACAAAGTTAGAAAAACGTAATTTGGTACAAATGTTATACAGGTATGGGGACCTAGAACCACCATAATTTTGGTTAGAATAACCTCAGCATGGGGCCTGCTCCCCAACCCCAATATTTTAAATCGCACCACCCCTTTTGTGATACCTACAAGTAAATATTTTTTGAAAAAATTCTGAATATTATACTCAAAAATATTTAATTTTAGGTATCGCAAAAGGGGTGGTACCCTTCAAAATTTCACTGACCTCATAACCAAAATATGGAGGTTCAAGTTTTCCTTACCTGTATAACATTTGTACCAAATTACGTTCTTCCAACTATTTTACTTTCAGAGATATTCACTTTAAAAAGTTTCGAATTGACACCTTGTATACTAATATGGTAGAAAGTAGGTACCTATAAGCAGGTACTCTGTTGGTTAGCACCATTGAGGTTAGCACAGATGAGAACTAAGGTGCGACAAATTAAAAGGAACAAGAAACAAACTAAGATTGTGATTGATAATTATTTATTCAAATACAAATATATTTTACCTTTTGATAGATAGATAAACACAAAATAACAATAGCAACTAAATACAGGTAGGTATATAAATATAAATATAAACAAATAATGTTTGTTAACTTGTACGCTTGCAGCAGCTTCATTTGGACCCTTGTGGCCTTTCATTGATTTGTCCACAAACTGAGGTACTCAATTAGCTAGAATTATTCTCAATAAAGTTTAGTTGTTAAAGTTAAAACCAAATAAAGCTTCATACCTTTTGCAACATTTTTCTCAGCGATTCCATCAAATAATTTTCGTCCAAGTTCTGCAGCAGCTAAATTGACAGGATGACCTTAAATCATTAAACATCATTAGGTAAATTCTAATATATTTTTTTTAAATTTGCTTATACCTTTTACATTGATAGAAACTACAAGGGCAAGTAAATGATCGAGGATTGCTACAACGTTTGCGTCCAGAAGTCCTAAAAAATAATTTGAAAATTTTGGAATTCACTTTGCCAAACGAATATTACCATTTTCTCCAGCAACTTCTGCATCGATAGTAGAATATAGAAGGCCTTCAAGAATCGCTAGTACGCTTAAATCAACAAGAGGAACGTTATCGCTTCTAAGTGAATTGCTCGAAAGTCCACCACGCAATAATACATCTTGATCAATGGGGTGCGTTTTGAGAATATTGCCAAGAAGACCACTTAGTAGGCAAAGGATATTGCCCAAAAGGCAACTCAAACTGCTCGAGTCTACGTTAAGGCCCAAATCAACTAGATCCCCTAAAATTGAATTCAAATTAATACTTTTCAATGAAACTTAGGTAAATATTTACCTCCACTAACATCTTTACGAGCTAGCATCATTGCTGGATCGATAGGTTCTCCTAAACCAATTATGGAATTATTCTTATTCTCTCAAAGTTATTTTACTTACCTTTCTTTAGAATACTGCCAAGAAGGCTACTAAGTAAGCAAAGAATGTCGCTCAAAAGACCATTCAAGTCTACTCCAAGTTCCAAATCCACTAATTTCCCTTAAAAATTATTCAAATTGTAGAACTTAAATCAATATAATTTGGGCAAATCTTACCATCGTTGCCATCTTTGCGAGCTAACATCATTGCTGGATCAATAGGGTGTCCTAAACCAATAATAATTGGAATCTTTATTCTCATTTTTTCAAAGTTGTTTTACTTGCCTTTTTTTAGAATACTACCAAGAACACCACCAAGTATACAAATAATATTACTCAAAAGACCGTTCAAGTCTAATTCAAGTTCCAAATTCACTAACAAATTGTCAACTGGACCATCCGAATCACAAGTTTCTCCTTCTACAACTGCACCATCCGACTCACAAACTTCATCCACAGTCGTTTGTTCCAGTACGCTGGATTTTTCTAAAACGTCCGATTGCTTCAGTGCGGGTGCCACTTTATTGATGGGCATAACTGAGAAAAAAATCAAAAGCTAGTAATAATTATATTTGAAGTTCTAAAAAAATACTTACCCAGTGTTGAAGAAAGTGCTACCATAGGTAGTAGAAACATTATTTTGATAAACATTTTTTGGATTGAGCTGATTTACTGAACGAGCGAACTCAACTGATATCCTTTTCCGGCACAAATTGGCTTTTTATATGAAACAAAATTTAGTTATTTGAACTTATTGTTTATAAAATTTATCGTTAATAATACCTTTCATAATGGAATTTTAACAAATGGGGATTGTTGACCGGGTACAATGCAAATTTTTAATTGTTTAATTATCGGTTTGAGTTTAGTATTATCTGGAGAAAATCCTTCATAGAAAAGGGGGTGAATATTTTAAAATTTTCTTAGGATTAATTTTCGGAAGAGAAGTTTTCGAAATCAAGCTACGGAAATAGTAGATAGGTAATCATCTGTGAAGATTTAAGAAACTGTCTCCGCATTTGTGACCGCTATGTGGCCTGTGAACAATAATTTAATATTACCTCCTGTATTCTAACAGGGCGGACACATTATTAAATACACTTTTTATGCGGGTGTCCGCTATGGCCTGGTGGGACAAAAAATAGCCGTTTTTGGTCCTAGGGCCAGGGACCGAGCCTGTCCCTACGATTCAATAAAATTTACTTTTCGCTGAACATGTTGAATTACGTATTAAAATTTCAATGGAAGAGCCCTCTAATCTTATTTTATCTGTGAAGATACAATATTTCCAATGTATAAAAATCATTGTAATTCAGTGGCCAAAAACAAGAATTTTAATTCCTCATCGCGCAAGTATCTCGAAACTTTAAAAGACAATTTGGCAACAAATGCAACTAGTGCATTTCTCCTTAGATTTCGCGACTTAATTGCTACCGAAGTGATTTTTACTCGAGCTTTTTTTTATATTCTTAGTTTTGTCTAGATAACAAATTAATCCCACTCTTGATAAAGTTTTGCAAAACATCTCCACGAAAAACTTTTTGAAAGATCCATATGAAAATGTTTATTAAAATTTCCCCTCTCAAAACTACTTAAGCAGCAAGAGCGAAAACACCTTCGAGTATGTTTCTTTCCAAAACTTTGTCGGAAATCATAATATTCCATGGGCGAAACTAAGTTTACATTTATAAATCTTCTGGATAAGAATATACCTAAGCCATGTTATATAATTTACAAATAAAGGCAAACATGAATAAATTGACAGTCCTTATCACATCATAGTAAACATTGTAGAACAATGGCTTCAGCTTTTGACTAGGAGAAGTTCTATATTCTCTAGCTACATACCTAATTAGATTCTGGATGTGTGCATTGTTGTATGTATATTATGTTAGCGATATGTATTAAATTACTGGGGTTTCATTCTGTTGATAAGATTTTGAAATGTTTTACAGTAAAATCTTTACAACTTTTAATCCAAAAAAAAAAGGAACACCGTAAACCGAGCTTTGTGTCGGTGCTATTAACTTTTCGCCATTTATTATACAAAATCAGTTTCAGGTTTATATAGCCTATTATTCGTGGCAGTGCGGTGGGTGGATTGTGTCGAGCAAAAACTTCAAAATGGGAGTCGTAAAGTTTCCTCATGTTATATAAAGAATTTCAAAGTTTAGTGTTTTCCAGAATGTGTATATAGCTCCTTTTGTCTCGAAAAAGGACTTCCATAGAGTTTTCGAACATGAAAATGTTGAATTTTGAACTTGGATCTGATAATACATTTATGTATGACTTAAGTATTTTGAAAATGTATTTGTTCAGTAAATAGTGTGTGTCTGTTGAGTTCTGATGACTCTATTCAGACATGGAGTGATACCGCAAAGGGTACCTAATTGAGTTTGTAGTGAGTACCTACAGCAATGGTTTGTTAGATACTGATTTTATTGAAATAATTCCAGCTATTTATGTTAAACTAATTTTTATATATCTTTATTTTCAATGGATACAAATCACAATGACAATTGTCCTGACAAATACTGGTAAGAACAGAATTAAAAGGTATATTTGCCTGATTAGGTGAATCGATAATACACCTATGAATGAATTAATGAAAGATACTAAATTTTAATAAAAAATGATAGAGAAAACATAACATTAATCAATACAATAACCCTAGCTATACATTTATGACAAATATTATTTTTCTGCTTAGTCCGCATTTGCTGGTTAGACAGTGTGACATACCTACATAATTATAATTATCTTCTTTAAACTCTATAGTATAGCAAAAGCTAATCCTGAAACTCTATTTTGCTCGGTTTCGTTTTGGAAAAGTAAACACAACAATAAGGGTCTAATTTCTTAAGCTGCCAAGGAACATAGTTTTGGGATTTAATCAAATAATTCCTCCGCTAGACGTGTCTCGGCCCAAATTGAAATATTACAGAGCTAAAAAGCAAAAAGTTTACGTTTTTCTTTTCCGCCATTGCTTTTTTGATAAACGCCGGGGCAAATTGCAAAAAATAAGAGCAGTTAATTACAAAGATTAAGCTACCGGGGGAGCTCAAGCCTTTTTTCCGTAATTCAAAATGTATAATGTTTCCCGTTTCGGATTAAAAATTTAATTTAAATTTTTGTTAATTTCGAGAAATTCCTTTCCAGATTTTTGACCGTAAAAGAAAACTTTTATTTTTACTATTCCGAGCCCAAACAAAAAAGTCTTTCATTCTGGCCGAACGACATCAACATAATTTCCTATTTAAATTCTATTCATGGTCGGGAAAACTCTTAAAACTCAAACTAAATTAAAATCCAGTTTTCGAGTGCATCTTACGGCTGACAACAGAACCGCATCTTTCTCTTCCGGATCTATTCGCGGAATGGTTTCAATTCTGGAGTAATTTAGTTTTCCAAGGGATATTGCGCCCAGTTTTTCTAAGATTAATAACTGCCAATTTAGGGTAACTACTGAAGAGAAAACGCACCAAAGCCGGATTGAGAATCTTCAAACAGATTTTGAGGAATAGCTTAACTGGGGTTCACTTTGATAAGTTTAATAAATTTGCTTTTATATGGACGGAAATTAATTTTTCAGATTTTATTATTTTTTATTTGCGTGATAAAATGTTTAGATTAATTTGTATTTGTAGTTAAAATAAGCCTGAAAACTGATGCTTAATCAAGGAAATTGCTACATCTTCGGTTGAACATGAAAGAATATTTCTTAGAAATAGCGGGAGGATAGGACAACGTATCGAAATCACGAGAATTCTTGGCGAAAGTAAGGAAACCACGTAGCCTTTCTTTTTCATCAACCCTAATATTCTGCTATCTTTTTGAGTTGTTAGTGTTAGACGTTATATCCGTATTACATCTTTGTATTTTTCTGTGTATTTATTCATGTAGTTCAGGGTGCCAACATTGTTTTGTTTTTCATAATGCTGATTTTTCTTTTGTCTGATTTAAGGCGTTGTAATACACTTGACACTATATCACTTCTTCAATGTTACAATATTCGATTTGTAATGTCTACATTTGTTCTGCAACAATACAATCTGGCTACACTGCAGCTACGAATTGCGCGCGCATGTCATCTTTTATCATTTTCTAACTTGTATTTATTACAATTAAGCTGTCTTTTTCTATTTATGCGAGACAGGTCAATCGAGACATTTCAAGTGCAACAAAACTAGAGTCAATTGGATTAAATTCACTCCACACTTTTCAATTAAGTCTAGGGCAGCAAAACGAAAGCACCTCAACTTTGACAGTTATAACAATTCTAGTAGGCCATTTGTGGCGCTTTGTTTAAATCATCAGTGACAGGTGACAGGGATAGCTTAGGAATTCTTGAATTTTTCAGCTTGAGATCCTGGAATACACAAAAGTCGAGATAAAATTAATAGTTTCCTTATTCCCGGCTCTTGAATTGGAAAACTAAAGAAAACAAGGAAGGGGCATAGACAATGAGACAGGGAATTATTCAAATATACAAAATATGGTGGGGTGGATCACCATACCAGGAAAACACACACACATCATCCAGGTATGCTGGGTGTCTGCTAGACAAACAACGTAGAGGAGGACACTCGACTCGGCCTCAGCCCGCAATCTGGGTCTCGCAGCCCTGTTTCGGGATGGGGCCGAGTCGACTGCCCTCTGTGGAAACCTGCCTGGTATATCTCGCGCTCTAAGATCGGTGGTTGATGAGGAAGCATCTTAGGAATTTACTTCCCTAGCTACTCGTGGGACCTAACATGGACACACAAAAAAAAAACAATCAAGGCGAAGGATCAGATCAAGCACATCCGAAAAAATGGAAGTAGGGGACTGTAAAAGCCCCACTGTTGCAGAACAACAGCTTCTACGCTCAACAGATGACGAACTCGGCAAAGATCTGAGCGCCCTACAGCTGAACAGCGGCGGATTTAGGATTCCTTCTAGGGGGGGGCGATCCATCAGGGCCTCAGGCTCAGATAAGAAATAATAAAAAAACGACTTAAATATACAGAGTGGCAAAAAAGTCGCGTATAATACCTGTAACTTTCTAATTACCTCGTATACGAAAAAGTGACCTTAATGAAAGTTGCTCAGTAAATTAGGGACATAAAGCTTCCGTATTTTTTGCTCGGTATCCGTATCGGTATCGTACTGCGCATGTGCAGAAGCGATACGGAGGCCGAGATACCGTACGTACAACGTAACGTTACGGCCCTCTCGCGGTATCCGTATCGGTAACGTATCTTGACATTCCTGACGCATGTGTCAAATTTCAAATGAATATAACCTCCCTTTTCTTCCGGGTTGATTTAATTTGTTTAGTTTATACTTTCTTGAGTTTCTTGTGTGTTTAGTGCTTCTCTATCGCAAAAAAAAATAACAATTTTAAGGTTAGATATAAAAACGCCGAAGTTTTGAGACAAAAATGTCTAGGTTATGAAATGCGTTTACGTTTACCGGAACAGGGAGCGCTTTAACAGCCTTTTCGCTTGTCAACGTATCTAGTTGCGTTACGGCTACCGATACCGATGAATTATTTCAAGTAGCTTTATGTCCCTAATATTTCCCACAATTCTACTTAAACGTATTGCCTGTGTCACTTCTGGTTTGTTTGCTATCTAGACCAACTTTCTTTTTTTCAAATAAAACACCCTGGATGTGATTGCATATTTGGATTCTACGTAAAATTCTGAGCAGATTTCATGTGATATACCCTATACCTAAGTTCAACTGTTTTGGAAATATTGACAGTTGAACATTGACTTTTTGCAACTTTGACAGGCTGTAAAACCTGAACGGTTAGTTTCAGAGGAAAACCGATTTCACATTCCTATCTTAGATTTTCATAAACTATCATTTGACATCAACATTTAATTTAATCGGAGATTAAATTTAATTGGAATTTTCAATTATAGATTAAATTCAAAGTTGGTGCGGATTTACGTCATCCGCAGTCGATTCGCTCCCAGCTCGCTGCTGCCAAACGTATTTAAAAGTATTAAAAATTTGGAAAAATAGCAAAAACCATATGGAATTTCATGTTGGATAATGCTTGATGAATATGTTTGTGTTTTCGTTAAAAATTTCGTTGTTGCATCGCTCAATAGGGGGGGGCGCGCGCCCCCCGCGCCACCCCTCTAAATCCGCCACTGCAGCTGAAGGACGACGGGAAAATCAGGCTGAGTGGCGCTGCCAGAAAGAGGATGAAATTCCTGGTTAAAAAGGGATTAGAGCAGACGAAGCCCGCAAAAAAGCCCTTGAGCCAATCAAAGAAAGGGCTAAAACCTCGGACAAGGGCGAAAAAGGAGCCCGGTCAGAGGGAAACACCCCCGGGGTTCAAGAGAAAAAAAGAGCCAGGACAAAGGAAACGGGCAGAAATGCCCCGCCCATAAAAAAGAAGGAAACAAGCAGCAGTGCTCCGCCTTCTAGGACTCCAAAGCCAACCTTCAGCCAGATAGCTGGAGGCATAAAGGTAGGTATACTACCTGCAGACTTCCGCAATTGCCTCTTGTCAGTGGAGCAACTACAAGCCACCAAAGAGACAATCATGGACAAGATCGTGGACGACGTAGCATCGGATTGCCAAATCAAACAGAAGTTTCTGAGCGCCCATAACAGACCCTGTTGGCTCGCTCTAGTATGTGAAAATATAGCCATCAAGCAGTGGCTGCAAACTGCAGTCGCCTCCATCAAGCCTTGGGAGTTAGCTTCTCTAAAGATGGTGGAGGAATCTGACATTCCTGACTCTGACGTCCTGGTTGCTCGATTCCCAAGCAGCATTAATTACTCCACGGAGAAAATCCTGAATCTCGTTCAAGGCCAAAATGAGGGCCTAAACGTTAAAAATTGATGAGTCATCCAACTTAACGCCGAGGGCCACCTGTGGAAGAAAACGGCTTCTCCCAACTCCCATGTTTCTACACCTGCCCATCACCTGCCACCTGGGAAATTACCTGCTCTAAGGTAATATTCATATTTTTTATATTAACAATTGAAAAACTATAAACAGGCAACTAGGCAACATGACGCCAACTGATTATGGAACAACTAATAACAATACTAGCAACAACAATGAAATTGTTACCTACCTGACATATTAATCACACATATAGGTGAACAATGAACTAAAGGTGCGGTCAGAATAAACGGTATTATCTTCGCTTCTGTGGTTACTCTTGGTAGATGACTTTCTGGCCGTGATACAACTATTGGGAATCAAGGTTCAAACATATGCGGACTAATACTAATAATTAGCCAAGGGAGACGGGGGTTAGACTTCGTGCTTGATTGTTGTGAAAGAGAAAAAATTACGATCAATCCTCACAGAATGACCATAATACGCTTCACCAGGAGAAAAAAACTCGATAATCCCTGAATATTCGAGAACTAATTTTCAAGTTGGTTGATCATCCTAAACAAAACTCTAAACTGAAATGTTCATTTTGAAAAAAGTGAGGCTAAATTGAAAGACCTGGGGCACAAATCCAAAGCAAATTAACTGGATTTTCACTATGGTCATCAAACCAATGATAACCTACGGATCTGTAATATGGTGGGGCAAGGTGAATTAGTTCAAGCGATATTCACCGGATTACAAAGAATAGCTTGCCTGGCTGCTCACAGAAAACCTAAACCTAACCTACCTTTGGGGGACTAACAAATTATTGAAAATTGAAAAGCTTTATGTATGTGTGTTCTTCTCTAATAAGGGTTGCAATTCAATGTACCTGAAATAACTTTTGTGAAGCTAACTATTCTGGCGGCTTTAGTAACTGTAGCTTCCAGAATTACTAATAACTGAACATTCAGGATAAATTTTATATGTCCCTTTCCTCATAAAAATAATTTCTCAAATTGTTGACAGTTATCGTCCTTATTTCAATCGCAGCTTCTTGTCAGCCAATTTCACTTAAAGTTCTCAAACTATTTACCGATTCCTGAAGATGCGCTTATTTGTTCTGTTTAGAATTCTGTGAGCTTTCAACGTAACTTGCATCATTTTACTTACATACAACAAACTAAATGTTAAGCGTCTAATTAACTCTACAATTTTAACTTCTTTGCTGCAGTTCTAAAGTCTGTAAGAAACTTTGCACTCATCTTTCACCCAGTGAAAATCCTACGTGTTTATTAGTCATGAATACCAATTTGATTAATTTTTTGATAAAACCTTCGCATAGTGAGTAATTTTTTGATATGAGATACGTATAAATTCTGATTTCATAGATCACACACTAGCTTTGGACAGGTGAGACTGGTGAAATTTTTAAAGAGCTGGTCGACGTCAAAGCATCTGTCAATTTGACAAACTAACGTTGAATCTTTCGAAATTCTCCTGCCAATTTTCCCTTTTTTTTATATTTATCATGTCTAGTTTGACGAAAAACTTTCGTTGGATACCGAAGATTCTTCAGGGTCAACATGAGACTTTATTGAAGACGCAATGTCGATTGAAACACCAAATTCCGGAACGCCTGAAGACCATACCGGAACAAGATAATCCAAAATTTTCCGAGGTAATATCCGATTGATACGATTTTCTACTAATATTGTGATTTTAATGAAAATTATGATAATTTTCTTCTACAGCTTGATTTTTGTTTATACCTAGTGTAAGAGGTAAAGTTTATTCGACGAAGGTTGGTACATATGACATTGATGATGTCATAACTTGGAAGAAAAGGTTTGTCGTAGATTTTATAGAAAAATAGAGGTTTCGATGTCCTCTATCCAAAAAGTCGATGCTGCTTCGTGGAATCTTGCCGGAAAAAGGTGGCAGGGCAGGTGTTTGGGGCCCGCGGACGCGGTCTCAGCTTTGACACCTATCAAGTTTTGCCCTGAATGAGGTGTCAAATTAAAAGTGTCAATATCCTTTATCCAGGTATAAGTTGGGGCCGAATTTATAGTAATAGTTGGGGAGCTGGCGTCAAAAACATGCAAGAGTTTTCGCAAGGCGGATATTTTCAAAATAGGTCGTACTTTAGTGCTAGAATGCTAGTGTACAGTCAGCACTCACAGTTCCGGGACAGCTGGCTCTGGGACGCGGGCAAAGTTGTAATTTTAAGAAGCATCTAAACTGTTTTCTTAAAGCTCAAAATTTATAGAAATTTTGCACATTATCTGTTTGAAGGTCACAGATAACGTATGTAAATCGTCAGACGTCTAGTTTGTTGCAAAAAGGGGATCAGACGTCCTCAAAGTTTTTATTTTATGGCATTTTCTTCGGTGTCCTGTCAAAATATATTTTTGCAGGTATTTGACAAATATATACGTCCGAATTTCTTCCGTAGACTCAGATCCGCTGGGCAAACAATAGGTCCTTGAGGTTTCCTCAGACCTTAAGGAAGCCATTGTACAGGTTTGTGATCTGACAAAATTGTGAATTTTCTACCACAAAAATATTTTGTTGCCCATACGATTGCTAAAAAAATAACTCCGATTGTATAGTTCGAGACATCGGTTGTCAATAAGAAAGGTTTCTTAATGAGAGATGGGCGAGACAAGACTTCGTGCTATCCGCGGCCCCCAAGCTGACCTGACAGAATATCTTCTGCAACTGACTCGGAACAATCTAAGGAAAGTAATAGGGTAATGTAACTGTAAGTTAAAATAAAGCACCTTCACTTTCTGGGATTGATAAACGACCCAACCTGCAGATGCTGTAATGAGGACGACGAGACGACAAAACATGTACTGTGTTATTGTCCAGCTCTGGGATCGGTGGCCATCAGTCATCTCTATTTTTCCATCTTCCGCAACGAAATCGTTAATGGCACAATTATTTACCATAATTTGGGAGATTTCAAGTAGCATACCAATTGAATGACCCTCTTTTTCAGATGGTACAATATTTCTTCCATCAAGCCTGTATCGTTTGCGAAGACAGGCTCGTTGACGACTTGGGCAAGATACGCGGAAGCAAAGATACTTTGGAAGAAAGACAACGAAAAGTGACAGCGATTTTTAAACAAATTGAAGCGTGCGATGCTATGGTAGAAGTAGCATTTCCTATCAGCAGAGACAATGGAGAATATGAAATTATTCAGGGATACCGAGCTCAACATAGCCAACATAAATTACCAACAAAAGGCAAGAATCTTTTACAATGAAGGATTTTTTTCTAGTGATAATTTTAGGTGGTTTGCGATATGCGATGAACGTAAGTGCTGATGAAGTGAGAGCTCTTTCGGCCATAATGACTTTCAAGTGTGCCGCAGCTGCTGTGCCATATGGCGGTGCCAAATCAGGAATCAAAATTGATCCTAGAAAATACTCGTTGAGGGAATTGGAAAAAATTACCCGGATGTTTGCCTTGGAACTTATTAAAAAAGGCTTTTTAGGTCCAGGATGTGATGTTCCTGCACCAGACATGGGTACCTATATCCATATGAAAAATCCTGGTTGATTTAATTGCAAAAATAATTCTTAGGTACTTCGGGAAGAGAAATGGCATGGATAGTGGACACTTACTCAAAAACTCTCGGACATAGGGACTTGAATGCTGCTGCAACTGTTACAGGAAAACCGATAAATGCAGGCGGAATTCACGGTATCATTCCTGTACTATTTATTTTGAATCTAAATGAAAAACAATCTTTATATAGGTCGAGAATCTGCAACAGGACGTGGATTATTTCATGCTGTAGAACACTGGGTGAACAACGAATGTTATATGGATTTTTTGGAGATGAAATTGGGAATGAAAGACAAAACTTACATATTACAAGGCTATGGAAATGTCGGTTCTCACACTCACCGGTACTTCCATAGAGCCGGTGCCAAATGTGTCGGCATTATGGAAATCGATGGTACGATTGTCGACGAGAAAGGAATCGATCCTGCTAAGCTCGAAGCTTACAAATTAGGCCCAGGAAAAGGTAACGCTTTGTTGATTTCCTAGTTTTTTAATGTTTCATCCTAGTAAAAATCCCTAATTTAATTTCCAGTTCCAAAAAGCTGGCGAATAAATCCAACGAAACTTTCCCTCCGACTTTTAAGTAAATAATGAATTGGCTCTTTTCCGAACTCCCAGGGTTTTATGACGCCCAAACTTTAATCGTAAAGCGCGCTTCAAAAATGCAATATTTCGACGTTCGTAACATTATTCATTTTCGTGGAGTTCCACATAGAACAGAGATTCGTATATTAGGCGTTTTATGTGTTCAGTTTTATGAAACACGTCTATGAAATTGGGAGGTTGAATTAAAATTTCAAATTTGAACATTGGCCAATCGAAAATAAAGTTTTCAAGGGCCAATTTATAATCATCATTGAGTCTTTCTTGGAGGTCTTGAGTTTAGGATAGACACTTGCTACTGTTTGACAAGTTAGTCATGTCAATTCTTGACGTTCAATGCCTGGGGAAGCCTCAAGGCCAGGAATAAATTCGGCTCTTAGAACATCAACTGGGCGTCCTTTAATAGCTATTTATGTACCAAGAGGATTATGTATCCTCCCCGTTGTGCATGTTCGTGCAAATGTTTGGGAAAAAAGGGAATTTGTTTGTATATTTAAAATTCGATATTGAAATAAAAAACCATACAATTTCAAACCATTTGGCACCATATAGGTATACGCTACGATCTTCGAAGCGGTCGAGTTCGAGTAGTGCGAGGTCACGCGTCCGTAGCCAAGACTACATCGTTTGAATCAAGAACTCTCCAAAAATATTCATTAGAAACTTAATTATCTACCCGTTTTCGAAATGACCAGTGGGATTACATTGTTTATGAAACAGGAGCTCCTGTGAGGCGCCCACACCAGCGCATAGCACAACCCTGTGCAACTCCAAGCTAGGTGCCTGGTCTAATATTGCCTTTGTATGGCTCAATTTTCGGCGCATTTACAGTCCCGCGGCTCTCCAGAATAAATTTCCCAACGTTTAATCATAAACATTTTTTGGCCTTCCGGATAACTTGGAACAGTAATAAAAAGGGAAAATATTAAAAAATTTGTACGTGGAAGCAAAGCATTGACCTTGGATTCTAAAAGTAAAAATAATATCCATTTTATCAATTTTACATAGGTAGATATTTTTCGGATTTGTTTATGTTATCGGGTAAGAAAGAAAAGGTAAATAACTGTTTGCTATTTTGTGTTTTTTTGGACCATTCCACTTTGAATAGATTTACATTTGTTTATTTGCTTGTTGCTATAATTTCTCTAAACACTTTCGTTTATTCGTTATTTACATTAGATAGAGTAATATAAATAATAACATTTTAATAATTCAAATTAGTGTTATTAAGTAATAATATTATCATGTCTTTAGCGAAGCTATCAAATAAAAGAACTGTCGCTATTAATCGAATTACAGAAGCTTATAGTTTAGCGGTAAAAGCCAAAACAGATCCTTCACAGCATACATATTTTCAAGTGATTTATGAAAACATAGATGAGGCTTACGAGGATTTTAAAAAGCGCCACAATGAGATTATCGGTCTTGTTGATTCGGACGCCGAATTTGAAACTCAAGATGCTATTAGAAAGAATGCAGATGCATTTTATTTCAAAACAAAAACAATTTATACAGAACTGTTCCCAATTCACGCACATCCTGGCAGCTCAGTGTCGCTTTTAGGTCAAAACCAGCAAACAAATAAAGATGTGGATCTACCTCCTTTATCAGTGCCTTCCTTTGATGGAAATCCGCGAAAATGGCCTACCTTTTATGATGTTTATCGTTCGCTGGTTCATGACAATTCAAAATATTCGGATATACAAAAGGTCCAATACCTTCTTTCATTTTTAGAAAATGAGCCGTCCAACCTTTTAAGATCCTTACCTTTAATCGCCTCAAATTATCAGCAAGCATTTACAACTTTGAAAACCCGCTATCAAAATAAAAGATTGTTAGCAACGACGTACTGGAGCTCTCTTACTAATACACCTTCTTTAAAAAACAATTCTTCAAAAGAGTTAAGAGTATTATTAGACACATTTTCAGAAAACACTGCGGCTTTGAGTAATTTAGGGTTCCCAGTGGACCAATGGTGTTTCGTTTACTTCAACATGTTATTACAGAAATTGGATAATGCTACTAGAATTTCTTTTGAATTAAAGTACAGTACTACCGAACTCCCAACTTTTCAAAATTTACAAGATTTCTTACTAAACCATTGCAAAGCTTTAGAGTCGGTTCAACAAATGCCATCGCAAGGAACGAACTGGATTCCTTTGATAAACAGAACTCCGAAACCAAATACTTCGAAAAATTATTCTTATGATCAACATAATCCAAACACATTTTTAGCCAACACTTCCTCTCATCCTAACACAGCGGGCGAGCATTCACTTTCCCATCAGGGCCAACCTCGTTCCTCTTCGAATAGCTGTAAGCTATGTAATAACGCTTCACACCCGCTGATACAATGTTCAAAATTTAAAGCAAAATCACCTGCAGATCGCGTTTGTCAACCAGATAAACTGTCTTCGTCCTAATCATTTGCTAAGGAATTGTCCTTCATCCTTCAATTGTCGCATCTGTCGTTATAGACATAATACTATGCTGCATCTTCCACAGACAGATCCTCTTCACTCGAGCACAAATTCAAGTCCACCGGCTACCAGCAGTAATCAGTCCTCAATGCTGTCGCACTGGCAATCCATCTCCTCCCAACGGACTTTGCACTGCTCTGTCAGCTACTGCATCACGTTCTACTACCGTTCTGCTATCAACTACAAAGGTTGAGATCTTGGATGCTAGAGGTAACTACCAGGTTGTGAGAGCAATCTTGGATAACGGCAGTCAGGCCAATTTTATTACCCAAACTTGCTTGAACCGTTTAGGGTTGGCTAGAGAGTCTTTAAATATAGGTACCTGTTTTGGGCCTTAATGAGTCCTGTTCTGCCAGCAACGGCATAACACATTGTAACATTCGCCCTAAGGGACAAGCCAGTCCAAACTTTTTCTTTGATGCCTTTGTTTTGCCTAAACTTTGTTCTGAAATGCCTTCGATTAAAATAAACCAGCAAGGTTGGGAGCATATCTCCAATCTTAAGCTAGGAGATGACCAGTTTCACATACCTGCAGCGGTAGACATGTTATTAGGAGCCGATATGTGTGCGCAGATATTTAAACCATCGGGGAAGAAACTAGGAAATCCAGGACAACCAACTGCCTTCGAAACCGTCTTTGGTTGGGTTTTATTAGGGAAAACCGAGAATCGTTTCCCCGCTTCGAGTTCTGTTCATACTTACTTTGCAGTAATGGAGCCATCTTTGGATTTAAGTCTTAGAAGGTTCTGGGAAATAGAATCAATACCATCTAAAATCTATCTGTCGCCCGATGATCAAAGGTGCGAAGAAATTTACAAAACCACTACTATTCGAGATAAATCTTCGGGTCGCTTTGTTGTGAATCTGCCCTTTCGGCACGCAGAGCCAGATTTGGGTGACACTTTCTCTTTAGCCTATCGTTGTTTTATGTCACTTGAATCCAGGTTACTGAAAAATCCCGAACTCTATGCCTTATATTCTAACTTCATGCACGAATATCTAAAAAATAATCACGTCTATAATTCCCAATGATCAACCAAAACCAGCACTCGTAAATTATCTGCCTCATCATTGCGTGCTGAAACCGGAAAAGGCAACAATCAAACTACGGGTTGTCTTTAATGCATCCGCGAAAGGATCAAGAGGCCTTAGTTTAAACCAAACACTTTTGACAGGTCCGAAGCTCCAGACAGATATTCAGGAAATCCTGTTAAAGTTTCGCGTTCATGCTGTCGTTTTTCTGGCCGACATAAAGCAGATGTATTTGCAAATTCAAGTTAACCCTAGCCACCGCGATTTCCAGAGGTTGCTCTGGCGCTTCCACCCTAAGGAACCACTTCGGGAGTATCGCCTTAATGGTGTCACTTTTGGGATAAGCTCCAGCCCCTTCCTGGCTATTCGTACAATACAGGAACTTGCGAATCTGGAAAAGAAAACGTACCCTAAGGCATCTCAAGTACTACATGAAAATATCTTTATGGACGATATTTGTGTAGGAACCTCTACCATTGAGGAAGCCAAAGTGTTACAAAAGGAGTTAATTGCCTTATTAAGAACTGGAGGTTTTGAACTTCGAAAGTGGGCAAGTAATGAAACCCAACTCCTTTCTTCTTTAGAACCCTCTGACTGTCAAATGTCAGTTTCATTCGAGGAGGAGGACAACACTTCGATTAAAGTGCTGGGGCTTCAATGGAGTCCAACTTCCGACACTTTTTCTTATTCATGTCACCCTTCTCCTAAGCCATGTACCAAAAGAAATATCCTTTCAGAAATAGCGCGTATATTTGATCCCTTGGGGTTTATTGCGCCAGTAACATTCTTAGCAAAAACTATTATGCAGAAACTTTGGCTGGACAAGGTTCCCTAGGATGAAACGCCCTCACAACCTATTGTCGATCTTTGGAACCAATACAAAAGTGAATTTCCATCTTTGTCAAGGATTTCTCTACCTCGTTATAATTTTTCAAATAATATTCAACGGTGTCAACTGTTGGGATTTTGTGATGCTTCAGAACTTGGGTATGCAGGGGCAGTATATGTTCGGATCGAGCTGACCGACGGCAATGTTCGATCCTCCTTAACTTGCGGTAAATCTAAAGTTGCGCCACTTCAAACCAAACTATACCTCGCTTAGAGCTCCTTGGAGCTACGCTACTAGCCGATCTTTTGAATTTTGTCATCCGTACATATTCGCCACTTGTCACTATAGATGAAATATTCGCCTTCTCGGACTCACAAGTAGTTTTGGCATGGTTGGCATCGTCGCCGCATAGATGGAAAAGTTTCGTGGCAAACCGTGTTAGCCACATTCAGGAAACCATTCCGGATGTACCTTGGTTTCACGTTCAATCTTTGGACAAACCTGCTGATTGTGCTAGTC